AGTCCCAAGGTTGGCAGAGCACAGCAGGCTGCTCAACAAAGACACAGCTACATGCAGGGTCCAAGCATGCCATAGGCTAGAGACCATTCCCAAAGGCTTCTCCTTATATACAGGAAGCAGACCACATATCCAAAGGCAGCTACCCAGCTGCTTATGGTAGATCCCACCATGCAGTTGATTGCCAGTGTCCTCATGGGGATTAACTACCACCAGCTTCCCAGCCACTTAACCAGGCCCAGCCAAGTTGACACACAAACCAAACTACCACATATACCATCACCAAACTCACCACAACCAAACACAAAATAAAAATCCTGAAAGCAACATGGGAAAAACAAAAAGTTACCTAGAAAGGACAACCAATAAGAATAAGTTCTGATTTCTCACCAGAAAACATACAAGCAAAAAGGCAACAGGATGGTATTTATAACCCTGAAAGAGAAAAATTTCCAACCAAGAACAATATACCCAGAAAAATTGTTCCTCAAATATGATGGTGAAATCAGGAGATTTACAGATAGGCAGAAATTAAGAGAATTTGTTAAAACAGACCAACCTTACAAGAGATACTAAAGGAAGTCCTTTGAACAGAGAAACAATAATAGCAAACAATAATTGACCATTAACACACAAGATGACATATCCCAGAAACTAACACAGCTATGGAAGTATCCAAAGTAAAATATGTTTACAAGATTGTAAGCATGGAACCAGAGACATCAATTGGCAAACGAGGACAACTACAAACCAAAAAGAGAGGAAAAAATATGTAGTTACAGAACTTCTAAATGGTGAGGAAGTCAAGAGAGCTGCAAGATGGAATGGACTGTTTCAAATTCAAGGAGAAAATTATAAATCACAGGGTAACCTCAAAGAAAAATAATAAACCTTCACATCACAATAAAAAGAGAACAAGAACAAATATTTACCAAATACTAAAACAACAGCAACAAAGGAAATGATAACACAATCCATAAATATAATAAGCTCAACACAGAAAATTACATGAAACACAGAAACCAGGAACACCATGAAAAAACACATAACAAAATGACAACAAGCAGTTCATACTTGCTGATAATTACATTGAATGTCAATTAATTAAATGCACCACTCAAGAGATGGATAGTTGCAGAATGGATAAGAAAAAATAACCTATCAATATGCTGTCTACAAGAGACACACCTTAGAGACAAAGACAAAAATAGACTAAAAATCAAAGGCTGGAAAAAGATACATCAAGCAAATGGCAACCAAAAATGAGAAGGAGTGACAATACCAATTTCTGATAAAATTGACTTAAGACAAAACCACCATAAGAGACAAGGAAAGGATCAATTGAACCAAGAAGATATAACCATGATAAGTATCTATGGGCCCAACAAAAGAGACCCAAAATGCATAAATCAGATTTTAACAGAATTGAAAAGGCAAACAGATGACTTCACAGTCATAGTAGAAGACTTTAATACACCACTTTCAGTCAAAGATAGAACTGGAAAGAAACTCAGCAAAAATGTAGAAGAGCTAAACAATACAATCCACCAACTTGACCTTATAGACATCAACAGAGTATTGGAAGTCCTAGCCAGGACAATAAGGCAAGAAAGGGAAATCAAAGGTGTGAAGATTGGTAAAGAAGTCAAACTATCGCTATTTCCTGATGATATGATCCTATACAGAGAGAAGCCAAGAGACTCAGCAAAAAACTACTGGAACTGATTAAGAGATTTAGCATAGTGGTGGGATACAAGATCACCATCCAAAAATCAGTTGGATTCCTCTACACCAGCAAAGAGATTGCTGAAAAGGAAATAAGGAAATCAATACCATTTACAAAAGCTACCAAAAATCTAAAATTCTTTGGAATAAGTCTCACTAGGGACACAATAGACCTGTACAAAGAAAACTAAAAAAGACTACTTCTTGAAACCATAAGAGATCCACATAAATGGAAAAACATACCATACTCGTAGGAAAATTAACATTGTAAAAATGTCACTACTACCCAAAGCAATCTATACATTCAATGCAATCCCAATCCAGATCCCATCAGCATTCTTTAAGGATATGGAAAAACCAATCACTAATTTTAAATGGAATGGAAAGAGATCTGGGATATAAGCAAAGAACAAAGTAGGAGATGTCACATGCCTAGGTCTCAAAACCTACTATACCACCACAGGAGTCAAAACAGCCTGGTATTTGTACAATGACATACACATACACAAGTGGAACAGAATTGAGAACTCAGAAATTGATCCATCAACTTCTGGTCAGCTGATCTTTGACAAAGGGCTGAAATCCATTAAATGGGGAAGAGATGGTCTCTTTAACAAATGGTACTGGCAAAACTGGATATCCATTTGCAGAAAAATGAAAAAAATCCATACCCCACATCATACATAATAACAAACCCCAGATGGATCAAAGACTTAAATGCGAAACCTAAAACTATAAAGTTCCTCAAGGAAAAAATAGGGGCAAATTTAGGGGCCTTAATTTAATTACAACAATTTATGGCATAAATAGACTGTCAAGCATAACCCAAAATGCAACTAGATGAATGGGACCTTCTAAAGATTAAATTTTTATGTACTTCCAAAGACTTCTCCAAAAGAGTCAAAAGAGAACCTACAGATTGGGAAAAAAATATTTGATAACGACTTATCTGACACGGGATTTATCTCTAAAATTTATAGAAAACTCCAACACCTGAACAACAAAAAGACAAAAAATCCAATTCAAAAATGGGCAGAAGACATGAATAGACACTTCATGTTCATTCCAGCACTATTTACAATAGCAAAAAGATGGAAACAACCTATGTGCCCATCAACAGAAGAATGGATAAGCAAACTATGGTAAACACACACAATAGAATACTATGTAACACTAATGAATAATGTTGTTGTTGTTGTTATGTGCCATCGAGTCAAACCCGACTCATAGCGACCCCTCCTTGGGTTTCCGAGGCAGTATCACTAC